CCAGACTGGGATTTATTGCTGCAACTGTTTAATGAATTGATAATTACAGTTCAATGTCGTAATTAACCGTTGCTTATGTTTCTTTGCCATTAACGTCAAATAGAGGCGGAGATTAAGTGAAAGACTTTAATGCTACCACAATACGCCTGCTGCTAAGAAATTTTACAAAACTAATTTTTACCCCCTACTTCGCCCACGTGGTTCTTATAATTTTTATGATTAAAGAAATGAGCTATATTTTATTAACAATAGTTTCTATTCGCAAAATTTGGTCCCCATCGGTGGTAAAAGACTGAAGTTCTTCCTGTGGTAGGGCCAAGCAATAGCTTCTGTTGTTGCACGTATGAGCAGGCTCGTCCGGGAAAGTACCACCTCCTCACAGAAGACCGGTGTGAAGTGAAAGTCTTTCTGTCGGTGCTTTGTCAGGTCAAAGAGGTAACGGGGGCGCAAATCTTTAAGGGCTGTCAACGTATCAGGAAACCATCGGGTGTTGCAAAAGTCCATGGGCGACGGTATTCATTTAACATCAGGTGAACCGCTTCCTCGCTTGACAACTTTCACATAAAAAAAATCATTAAGATTATCTTATAAAAAGCAGTGAAGTCGCGATTATGCAGTTCATCAGCCAATAGTTCTTCAGTGAAATTTACTTATTTTGCAGAGCGCTGTTCCGATGTAAATCTCCTTAATGCAAGGTTTACCCTTATCTTTCCGCAGAAAACAGGCCAATCGATCCGTACGAGTACAATTCAGTATCATCCCATTAATCCCTGTTAGCTGCTATCCAACAATTAGAAAGAGTGAGAGCAATAAAGTTTACCTAGCAGGTGTTGTGTACGCAATGTTATCTGGCAACGGACAGCATCGCAGTCCCTCGATACTGGGCAATGTGTAATCGGTTCTCATTCGAGCATTGGGGATTCGATTCCAGTTGATAAGGAGTTACGTTCTCCTCCTTATCGAGAGCGATAACGCTCAGTGTTCATCTCTAATTCGTTTCAACAGACGATATATAGTTTTGGAGCGAACAAGCGTGTAGTGATGCATCAGTTCCTTTATGTAGTGGTTTATGCGAGTATAGAGAATTAGACTTCGAACTAAACTTGTTTGGAGAAAGGTAAATTGGATATTATTTAGTAAGGCAAAGTTAGTTGTGTAAAAATTGTGATTTCGCCAAAGACGAATTAAATTAGAAGAACATGTGCCAAGTTATTTTGTGTCTGTAAACGAGTCGTTGTTCAATATACAGTTTTGTTAAAAACTAAGATCACAGACGATCAAATGGCAAACGTGATGATAAATGATTGCCGCTGACCTGATATAAGAGTGTGTTTGGGATGGTACAGGTTCAAAAAAACCCTTACTCGTGATTTACCGCGAGTAAGAAAATCTCCTTTAGTATTTCAACCCTGTATCTGTACTTATAGTATTGTAAGTGCTTACTATTCAATCGATTATTTCACCTAGAATGTGTATCCAACGCATATAAGATAGATATAGCTTGTGAAGGAATACTGCTGGAATCGACCAGTAGAGTCGCGTTTCCAATAGAGTCGACAGCCGCTGATGGCGAACGTTTAGCTGTGTCCGCAATATAAATATTATACATTAATGTAAGCGGTTTCGAAACTCCTAATAAATACGCTTCATTCTCCCGACTGATGGACAAACAGTATTGTAAACGTTTCACATTGATTGTATAAGTCAATACGCGCGTATTGACTTTCAAATTTAAAGGACCGATACCTCATTAAAATCGCAACACAAAACGAATGCATTTCCATTAACAGATGAATTACAAAACTACCTTCCTGGTTCGGGCTGCAACTTTACTCTGTCTACTTGGAAATACTTCTAGCGTTTGATGGAAGTCGTTTTAATGCAATTGTTATTGTAGACGGTGAGCGGACATTCTTGATTGCACAGTTCGGTTTGACAGTATAAGTTAATTTTAATATTACTTATATTACTACAACATTACGTAAGAGTTCGCACCAATCAATGTCGTATGTAGCGATGACAAATTAAAAAAAAGCAGATCTCGGCTAGGTTTCTCGTTTTCTCCATATTCTTTCTGCCACCACACGCCTACTTTACGTGAGTTTTAAACGCGCCCAATATGACATGTCTTGACGAGCAACGCATACGCGGAAATTGAGTTACAATCGCGTAATTGTCGTAAGCATTAAATCGACCCGCAGACAAAGGCGCGCTCGGAATGGTGCTTACAGTCAATTAAGTGATTTATAACGTATAAAAACCGCGATCACTCGCCCGGGGTGCGGCTACTGGCTCTGTCAATTACATTCAGCGTTGGTGACTTCAATTTTCTCGATGCAGGCATACGAGTAATTACAAAAAGAGGAACAACCTCCGAGCAAATGTCAAAGCAACGCGGAACGGAGATGAAGTAATTAACCAGATATCAAATCGGGCATCAGAGATGGCTCGCACGCTGTTGAAACTATGGCATGTTGTTTGGATGTTTTTGGAAAACGCACGGATCGTATACTGAATGAATGAATTAATACACTTTTATTGTCCACCACAAATGAAAATATACAAAAAAGTGACAATAGAACAACAAATTTATGCAAGGTACAATTTGGCGGCCTTATCGCTTCATAGCGATCTCTTCTAGGCAACCAAAGGCATAAAGGAAACCTATACTACGTAGGTGGTGCAACAGAAATATACATATGATTAAAGCATATACATACATATATAGACATACACATACATAAGTCAATGCTTATTTACATAATAATGCAGTAATAAATCCTAATGATACTTAAGTAATTGAGACAGATAATGTTCTCTAACTAATTTCTTAAAGGTGCCAATAGATTGCGCCTCGTGGTAATTATATCGTGAGCAGAATATCGTATAAATGAGCAAGCTCATCCGAGGAAGTACCAAGGCCAAGGCAACCAAAGCAAGTATTATACTTTCACCTTTCGTCTTGTGTGAGGTAGCAAGAGACCTCTTTAGTACTTGCAATCCATCAGCAACCCAGCAGGATACAACACAGAAGGTCTTGTATAAGTCCATGGGTGACGATAGGTGAAACTGCACTATTCACATAAAAAATCACTTATTTTCAGAGCAGAATGTCTTAAAAACATACTAAAACTATTCGGAAATCTATAAATTCAATACCTATCCTGTGAAAGAATTAAGCCGATTTCTAAATCTTTAAAGCCATGTTAGAAAGTGCTATAACAGAACCGTCCATAGAATGAACTCATCGCTTTATGCTACAGGGACTCTACTAGTGTACTATTTGTTATTCTCTTCACGGTCCATTTGACATTTAGATCAATACGAGTAGGGCCAAATGGGCCAAATGGCATGTGGGTACGCTTTCCCGCTGGTGAGTATTTTTTCACCTTCCTCTAGTGCCTTTATCCGTACAACAAATTTATGGCAAAACCCATGGTACTAATCAGGTCAGTATATAAATGCATAATCTCACAATTATGAAACTGTTATATCATTCCTTGTGAAATCATATAAATGTGTACACCTGGAAAGAGGCAGTCCAAAAATTCATAACCAAGGTACATAAGAAGGTAGACAGAATTCAGTGAACTTAACAACGACTAATAAAAGTATTTTCATGAATCCAAGTAAACTTGTTATTGTCTAATGTTTATTGTTTTTTATAAGATTATTGCTATCTATAATATAAATATATTTATTTATATTAAAACATTTCCTCGATAGTTTATACTTATTTTATTCTTTGTTATTATTTCAATATTTTGCCTTAAATAATAAGCACAGGATGTATTGTATTACACAATACCTTTTTAAAATGCGAATATATATATACTCCAACCACTATACAATTAAAGCGTTAATTTGATCATGCAGGTAGGTCGTAACAAGTTTTTTTTTTTGCTGGACCGTTATAGCTTTATGAATGAGCGAAACAATAAATTTCAATAAACACTGTATACGAGTTAACTTTCAAGTGAAAGTTGTATCGATTTATGTTCTGGAAACATAAACTAAAACACACGCTTGTCAACGATACTAGGAGGTTAAATTTTATCTTGAACTACTTTCCACCTGGTACTAGTTAGGAATGTGATCCACAGACGGTAGCCATTCTAGCTCATTAGAAGTTTCATTTCTTGAAGTTGGAACCGTATGGTACAGGCACATTGATCCACTTCTTAGCCGTATACATTACAAACCCCATCCTCATCGCCCCATTCCCATCAATTCTAACGCATCCCTTTCAAATAATTTCCACATGTATCGGTTACACACAAATTTCACAAGTTGACGTGTTACGAATTTAATTTACTTGTTGTCATCGAAGGTAGGTATAGCGAGAGACACAGATGCTACAATTTCCTTCGCTTGCTAATTCGTTCCGATTAGCGCTACCAGATAAATTATAATGAGTCAATTTACAATTTTCCGATAGGGCGACCCCAAGTCTGAGTACTGATAAACTGAAAGGAAATGAACAGTTAGGAATATTTAACGAACAGTTTATCCTGCTAGCTGTTGCTTCTCTTACATGATGGGTATCTCGACTGATTGTGTCAGTTGTGCATTATATGTTGTTGCTTTTGAACAGTAGTTAATTTGGACGAGAAGTCTGTCGAATTGTATGTTAAAATCTGCCAAATTAGATGTAGTTAGCGTCTTTATAGGCATTTTGTAACCAAGATTTGTGTGAAGTTCTAGATTCGTGTCCCAAAATTGTGCCACAATTAGTTTTATCAGTTATATACATACAAAAGCCACTGTTGTATATATTTTACGGATAATTGTCTGATCGTATGTTATATTCGAACCTATATATGACTATGGGAAAGCCACCCGAGAGCCTGCTTTTCTGTGAGCTTACGAAATTTCCATACACGTCAAACGATGTCGAACAGGTGCTTTATCTCGAACCGAAATCAAAGCGATAGTGAGCAAAAAAAAAAATTGAAAATCCCTCGCTCATTGCATAACGTAAGCGTAAATAAATGTTTAACATGCGGCCGGTATTCGCTATCGAATTCAAACGTCAGACTTTCCATCTGCCCGTCAATAAACAACGGAGAATAGGGTCCCCTCCGCAAAAAGGAGAGGAGTCGGTGCGCCGTTATCAAATATTAGCATACAAAGTCCGCTGTCGTGACGAAAAAAGACCAAGAGCCGCGGCGGCCGACGAAGAAAAAAGGCAAAAGGCGTTCCGTTCCCGCCACTTCGCGTCGTGGAGATCGAATGCAAAACTTTTACTGTTGACAGTGCATCTGCGGGCATAATAGATATTTTAACTTCTGTATAAACGTTTTAGGTAAACATGGGTGCTTGGATTGTTGTCGCTGGCAACACTGTATACCGGATATGACGTTAACTACTCGAGCGAAGAGACACATGGTCGCATGGAACAGCGATCGCTTGCATTTTAGCTGCACTAGTGCTGCTTGTCATTATAATACTTGTTAATATTCAAGTTCATAAATAGCTAAATATTAGAATCAAAGTAATAACGTTAGAACTCTTATAGTACGGGTAATAGATTTCGATCCCAAGGATGTCAAGCTGTTTACGGCAGGTTGTCCTACGTAAAACACAATATAACATTAAAATTTGTAGAAAAAGACGTCTTCCGGGTTCGCGGCCAGCCTCTGGAAAAGTGGTCCCGAGTTACCTCGCACTTCCACATTACGCCTGTCTTCTGTGAGGTCATGGTACTTCCGCGGACGGACCTGCTCGTTCCTGCAACAGCGAAGACTGTTGCGCGGTCTATCACAGTTAGTTACGATTGTGGTGTTTGAGACTTGGCCTCCCAAAATGATTGATCTGACATATCAGGCGTTCCAATATCCGAAGAGTGAAGATTCGTCCATTGGAAAACCAGTCCCATGTTCATGGCGGAAATGATATTACATGCTCAGTTCCTGTCACGCTATACACCTGAAAGGCGGATGTCGTTAGTGCACTCTAACCTATCTTTATTACCAGTACTGAAATAATAAAGACTAATCTACTATCATTTATAAACGCATGGTAATAGGTGTGCGTAGAACTATGTAAATTTAACCAAAATTGATATAAAGAGGCCCGAAAAACCGTGCAAAGAAAAAAAATGTAATATCTAAGTTCTAAAAGCTTAGTTTTAAACAATTTATTTTAAACATTTCGTATATTTGTAACGGCATTGTAAGATTTCTGTACAATATCGTGGAATATTTAATAATTCCGAGCCTCTTTCCGCGATTTCACTGCATGATAAGCGCAGCGCAAGAATGCAGATTCAACATTACAGTGATGATATTCTGCAATGATATTTATAATGCCGTATGCTGTTTCGACGTTAAAATGTCTCACGATAACGAACGATTGTTTAGCATAATATTTGACCCTTGTTTTCGCGTTAAGATAGGTATGTTATAATGCATCGGATAATTGGTAGTGTTCAAACAGTTACTGTATGTCTCCACAGGTTAGGCGGTACTTGTGTAGTGAATCTTCAGAGGATAAGTTATTGAATGACTGAAGCTCTTAGTTTTCCACAAAGTGAGCCCCGATCACCTCACTCACCTGAAGTGATGCAAAAGCACAAATATTTCTGCTTCCCACTGGTCTTCTGTGTCTCCATCTACAGTTTATCTCCATTAGTCTGTCTCTATATACAGTCACGTCAGTAGGCTCACTCAACCAATGTGAACATTTTAGAGTTATTTTTTCTTCTTATTTCATGTGTAAACGGTTGTTAAAGTCTTGTCAGGCTCTTTACCGTATGAATAAGATGTAAAATAACACATTTGTCACAACAATCTCTTGATTGAAACGGGTAACAATTTGTTGTTTGTTAAACAAGTCTATTGTGTATCTCCTACTAAGGGAAATGACGTACACACAAGCTTGTGCAGAAATTTCGCTTCCCCGCTTCGATCATGAACTCATTTGTTGCCGCTGTTCGTTAACTTTTTGTCGAACGATCTAAAGGCTCCCTGTAATAGTGATGTACTCGCAACACGTATCGATACACCGCAACGAATCACCGCTCGGTACGTACCGAACAGCGACGCAGCACGGTATTCGAAATACCGTTTTTAATTAAACTCCGTCGTGTGGGCAGCGAAGGCGCACCCGCGTCAGAAAGCATTAAGCCCCCGAGAGGGCGGTATGAAATTGCGAGCGCTCCCACCGCGGCCGGCTTCTCGGAAATTCGACTGAAATAATACGCTTTGAATATTTAACTTTAGATCGTTCCCGCGATACGTTAGATTCGGTGAGCGTGAAGTGGCGTGCGGAAATTGGAGGGCAAATTGGAAAAGGCTCGATGAGCTGAACGTCACTAATGGGATTTTATGCAAGAAATACCCCCTAGGTGCGTTTAATAAAAATCGTTTGAACAACGCAATTAGGAGAAACACTTAAAAATATTGCGATCAGAACTTCTTTTGCCATTTTTAATTCAAGCGAAACTCTAAGTTGTTGACTGACGCAGGATGCCTCGAAACTGTCAGTGGAGATGTTCAAGCATACATAACAAAGGAGCAACGAAACGAGTGAAGGGAAAAAAAGCCATATACAAATCACAAAAGTCCACGGGGCGATTCTATTGACATGTCTTAATTGAAATACCTTTTAATAAACAAAGGTCTGATGCGGGGAAGGCGCGTTTTCAGAAATGGCCCTCGGTGATGGGTTAAACGCCTCCTCCCCCCCCCCCCTCACCGTTGACGTAACGTATTAAAATGTAAAAGCGTGCCTGACAGCCGGTTACCTCTTGACATGCAATTTTCGGACGTTCATATATCATGCGAGGAGGCAACGAGATGTCCTAGCGGCAAACTACTTGTCGATATCGAAGTTTTCCGTTATCGATAATTACTATCGATATAGTTACGGTCGACACATTTCTGCTGTTTTTTCCAGCATCTTCTTTTTGGATTCTTCGACACAATATGTTGCAAAATGTTGACAATTGACATCGGTTCAGTTAATGGAATTGTTCTCTCGTCAAAATCAAATTAAAATAAAAAAAAAAAAAAAAAAACTGAAATTTTGTTATTATGTAAGTCGAAATATCGACAGCCTTAGCCGACGTTATTATGAAACAACACTAGCCGTCTTCCTGCCAAAACGGCGGGTAGGCATCGAAATAATTAATCTCGCAGTTACCAGATTTTCGACTTGACCTTTATGAGGTGGTGCCCTATGTTAATCAATTTGCGAGTTGTGGTGCCTCGCTGCAATAAATACACGGTCGTGGCTAATTTCACCTGTCACGTATCGGTTGTTATGGCAACCGATTATAAGATCATTATCGCTTAAACGCATTAAGTTGTTACTAAGGTAGCGCCGGAACGCGTTAATTTTTAAACATACTGAATGGATTCACAGGTTTCTCCACCCAAGTAAAGTTATTACACGCTGTTATAAAGTAACAAATTAATGATTTTAATTATGTCTCTCAGAAATTCCAATGAATCAGTAGAAATATATGCTGTTTTGAGGAAAGGAACTTATCTTCGTGTAAGTACACGAAGATAAGTTCCTTTAAACGACCCCACTTGTTCTGAGTTTGATTAATTTACTGATTATTAGGAAACCAACATTTACTCGTTAGTGTATGTGACATCGATGTTTGATTGATATTGTTAGTTTTGAATAGATAAATCCTTTAGCTGAGAGGCTAAAGATTTACCTTTTACCGATCTTTTGGCTATGTGCATCAAGTTGTCAGAAAAAAGCTTATTTCATGTACATATATATGGCACTAGCTATATGGTTAATTTTTACGTGCTATATGGCCCTCCTTGTGCCATTTTAGCTTACCAATATTCTGAGCTATGATGGGGAAGAAAGGTTTTCAAGTTGTCTCAGTGTGGGATTACCCTCGACAAGACGAGCTATGGAAATCGATGGCTGCAGATGGCTTATGTCAGACAGACACACTTTTGTCGCTGTCTTAAATTAAGCAAAATTAAAGCCAGAATACAAATATTCAGGTTAAACTCTTTTAAGTGATTTAGAAGGACCATTAAAACATCCTCGCGAGAAGGTCAACGAACCCCACTCTGATTGAAGAACGCGCTAATCAAAGAAACACGGCCGTCCCTTTCGCGCGCAAACCGAATTTCGTTTCGCGCCAGTTTTTCGTTTCATCAAAGCGAGCGTAATGCGATGCGCCATCAATTTTTTCCTCCCCTCCCCCCCTCCAACCTCCCCCACGCATCGTTCCGAAAACAATTTTCTATCCCATATGATTATGGGTCATTTCGGGGCCAGTGCAAAACTATTATTAATGTATTACAACGCATAACCGGCCGGTCATTATTTTCGGTTTAATTCCGTTTTCATTTGCTCCTTTATCGCCCGGCCGCGTCTCGTATTCCGCTCTGCATCGTAATTATTTTGACATTTTCCTTGCGATTGTACGCAACCACTGCGCCATTATGCGGCTCGGGCAAAAAGACGTTCGAAGAAAAACTAATCGAAACTCAGCAGTAATTCTCGTTATCTTCTTATTATCGCTATCGCTATTATAGCTTGATGAATTTAAACGAAAAATTAAAAGTAAACTTATGGCTAAAGCGTATTATACTATTGCGGAGTATCTAGACGACGCCAATGTGTGGAATTAATACTGTTGATACTCACGTACTAGACTATTATTACTATTATATCTGTACCATTATATTGTAAACTGACCTTTAATAAAGAGAAACTGTTGAGTTTCTTGCCGGTTTCTTCACAACAGAAACTGCTTTCCGAACCGGTGTAACTTACGAACGTATTAATTTCTTTGTAAAATTTCGACGTTTCATAAGAACGCGCAAGCGACTATGTGAATAAAGATATTTTATTATTATTATTATATCACTTCTCTCAAGATAAAGTGGTCTTCCGAATGTTGGACATTCCTCAACCTCAACCTTTTTCCTGTCGGTCGATATATACAAAAAGACAATACGTATAGAACTGTAACGTTTCTATATGGGATGGTGGAGTTAATGATGGGGAGATTTAATAAAAGATTTATTAGCAGTTAAGAAGTTGTATTCATCCCTCCAGTTTAAAGTTACAATCCCTGGACTAGCTCAGATACAATATATTTTCAAAATATAACAATAATAATGAGTTGGGCGCCTTGTCTGTTAGGAACAGACTGTTGTAATAAATACAATTAAGTATCTCAGGGAGTCGTGAATACATAGGACCTACACATTACCTTGTGCGACCATAAAAGGTTAAATAATTAAATTAATTTGATATTATGAAAGTTATGCAATTCAATTTAAAA